TTGCAAACATAGAGAAAATATTTTAAATAAAAAATTACAAAAATATTATTAGAATGGAATATCAATAACATTTTAAAAATTATGAGAATAATAATGGTTATTTTAATTGAAAATGAAAAGACTACTATAAATAAATCATATTAGTTATGAAATTTTTTTTAATGTAACAGCGTTGTCATTATTAGTGATATGCAAATATAAATAATCTCACTATAAATATATAAAATTTATTAGATTGTTAGTTACATTTGACATGTGAGGTTCATTCTTTATGTGTTTTTTTACCATTTGTGGGTGATATCACATATCAATGATGATGTGGCATTACCATTATATTGAATTTTTAATCAAATTTTGTATCAAAAAATAATTTATCATTATATAATTTATTTTAGGAAAAATTAGTCTAAAGTCCCTCTCCCATTTTTAGTAATGGAAGAGATCCACAATATTATTTTTTGATGTCTAAGATCCCTCCCATCTATCACAGAAAAATTTGATATATATCTCACGCTCCGTATGTCTCTCTCGCGGCTCTCTTCTACTCCTCCAAATCCCCAAACTCAACCTTCTTCTTCGTCTCCTCTACTATTGCTGCCATCGGCACCGCTGCTAGCGCCTCTCCCTTCAGATCAACCAGGTAAATCAACCTCCATCCATGGTCTGAACGAACATGCATTGGGGCTTTTGTCAAAAAAGTTAGGTTATTTTTGTTCGGCGCATTTGTCCGAGGATTAACTTCGTTTGAGACCACTGAAAGATTTCTATGTTAATTTAGTTATGTTTGTTAGTTAGTATTGACTCATTGCCTTTGTTGCCTCTCTTGGTGAATTATTAGAAAAAAGAAGTCCTGTGTGCAACAGGATTATGAATATAGGTCTAATATGTTTATTTCTTCTTATTTTTTTAATTTCTTTCCCTTTTTTTTGTGTGTGTTTTTTTGTTTAGTCTTTACAGGGAGAAAGCATGTGCATTCTTTTCAGTTTTACTGCACAACTTTTCCAAGATGGCTTGGGAGAATTTTGGAAAGGTATCAAGTGTAGATTCTACATTCTTATTAGATTTCTTTGCCAGATGCTTGCACACTGGTTTCTAAAATTTGTGTGATTTTTCATTTCTATTATATTTTATTTGTAGCCACCATTTTCATGTTTTCCCCCCTTTAAGAACTTGCAATTTTCTTTATACACAGTGATGTCTGATGTGTAGAAAAGAAGCGCTTTTACAGAATTGTACTTCTCTGGTGAATTGCTTATTCTCATTGAGGATTTTCTTCTAGAAAGAAGAGTTCTGGTTTGTAGTAATGTATCTTCGGAGTCATTGTCCAAAAGTGGTTCAATTGTCAACAATCTACCTTTAATATTTAATCTCTGGAGATAAATTTCGAAGTCAGAGAAATTTGGTTAAAACAGATTTCGAAGTCAGAGAAATTTGATTAAAACACATTCCGAAGTCAGAGAAATTCCGAAGTCAGAGAAATTCAAATAATGATGGTGACAACGACAAATATGATACTTCAAGGGAGAATGGCGACAGCAGTGCAAAGGTAGAAGAAGAACCCAAATGTCATGAGGTTGCTCATAATTCTGGTCACAGCAGCAACAAAGAGAGTAATGGTGCAACGGTGAAGAGAGAATCTGAAGTAGTATTGTTCAATAGAATTGTTGTTTTGAACTATCATAATTATGTTATAGCAGTTGGGTAATAGAGATGTTATTGAAGTTGTTAAATTTTGCCATTCCTATCAAAGGTTTGATGTATTTTATAAAGGTCAGTGATTGAAAAGATGAGATGATGAGTTTTGGCATTTTGCACTATAAATGGCATGCAAAAATTAGAAAAGTGCCAGAGAAATTTGTGAAGTGATAGAATTTTCCTGGATAGCCACACAAATTTTCTCTCCACAATTTTCTCTGGATTTCTTTGGTACTCAGAGAAATTTCAATTTTCTCTGGTTTGAATCCAGAGAATTTCTCTGGAGAGAGTTTCAATTTTCTCTGGACAGAATTTCTCTGGAGAGATTTTCTCTGGACAGAATTTCTCTGGAGAGAATTTCTCTGTGAATGAAATTTCTCTGGATCGATGTTGAGGGACCTTAGACATTATGAAATATTTGATTTCCTTTATGCTATAAAATCTTAATATCAGGGACCTTAAAAGAAATTCCCCTATATTTTAAGGCTTATATCCATATTTTTTTTATTCCATGATACACTAGTTACAAATAATATTTAATTTATTTGTTTCTAGTTTTCAGAAAATTCTACTTTTTTATTTTTCGTATTTTAATGTTTTGAATGAATTTTTTTAATATTTTAAGAATTTCTTTTTAAATTTTTAGACACATTTAGCATAAATACACTTAAAAAATATAATATTTGTGAAAAAAATATTGAAAAAATACATTAAATACCAAAAAATACAACAAATAAAAAAACAAAAATTCAATATATTTTTTGTATGCTTGTGTATTTATTAATTTTTTAAAATATTTTTTCACATATATTTTACTATTTAGATATATCTAAGTAAGGTGCATCCAAAAAAGTAAAAAAATTACTTAAAATTAAAAAAATATTCATTAAAAAAAATACGAAAAATAAAAAAACTCAATTCTCAAGAAGCTAAATTCAGAAAACTGAAACCAAACACACTAATTATTATTATTTTTTTGATGTTTCTTGAAATCAATCGTAAAAACTTGCGTGAAATATTTTTGTAAAAATTATTGTAATTAATAAGTGCTCCCTCTAATTTAATTTTCTAGCTCCGCCACTGCATATAGATATGAACCCCACACTTATATAAGACCTATCCCATGTGAGACATTTGATAAAATATTTAGTAAAAATTTTAGTATCCCTAACATTACTCTTTTAAAAATTGGTGATGTTATATGCACCAATTAGTATACTAACTACTGTACCAACACTAGTTATGACATTATTATTTACCACACTCATTATGCAAATTACAAATACCAAAAATATTTTAAATTATGCCACATCATTGGTACATTAGTTAGTATACTAGTTGATACATATGACATTATTCTTTGAAAATAGTTTTAGAGATTAGGGGTATGTTTGGTTTGAGTTTTAGAGATGAGTTTTAGAATAAAATTTTCAAAAAATTGTTTGGTTTGAGATTTTTCTCAAAAAATTTTCAAAATCACTTTCTCTCTCTTACACATCAATCAATCACTTTTTCTCTCTCCTCTCTCATTCTTAATCATTTTTTCTCTCACACACATCTACTCAATTACAACAAAATATCAAATCATCCCAAACTCCAAAACTACTTTCAAAATATACAACCAAACAAATCAAAAAAATTTCTAAAACAACTCTCCCAAAAACAAACCAAACAAGCCCTAGGAGTTTGGGATGATTTGATATTTTGTCGTAATTAAGTAGATGTGTGTGAGATAAAAAGTGATTGAGAAAAAGTGAAAAAAAAGAAAAAATAATTGATTGATGTGTAAAAAAAATAAAGCAATTTAAATTTTCTTTCAAAAAATTTAAACCAAATAAAATTTTAAATTTTTTTCTCAAAAATTATGGGTGCGTTTGGTTTGTGTTTTGACATAATTTTTTTTTTAAAAAAAATTGGAAAGATAGTTTAGAATTTTTTTTGATTTGTTTGGTTATATATTTTGAAAATAGTTTTAGAGTTTGAAATGATTTGATGTTTTGTTGTTATTGAGTAAATGCGTATGAGAGAAAAAAATGATTGAAAAAGAGAGAGAAGAGAGAAAAAAGTGATTAATTGAAATATAAAAGAGAAAAAATAATTTTAAATTTTTTATAAAAAAATTTAACCTAAATAAAATTTTAGAATTATTTTTAAAAATAATATATTGAGCGTTGTATTCCGATCGAAACTTGGCCTTGACTGGGGCGGTTGATAAGCTCCATTGGTGCCTCAGTGGTACGTCCTTTCCTATGGATTGGGTTAAGTAAAGCTGGCATCTGATAGATCTCGAGGCCTGGGCCCACAGATGCTGTGATGATTGGGGGTGCAACTCAGGCGGGTTCGGTCGAGTTGGGAGGTTGCCAAAAGCCCAGCCCAAGTTATACTGAAATCTGCCCAGGCCCGCCCAAGCCCAAATTGTAACCCGAGATTGCCTGCCCACTTTACAATTTATTAGTGAAAATAAAAAATAAAAAAATAAAGTAAGATTCTATGTTATTTGTATATATAATATATATTCAATATGATTTAATATCTAAATTACTTTAATATCATGTAATGGCTAATAATTTATATATATATATATATTTAATATTTTTATGTATCTATATATGTATAATTCGGGTTTCGGGTTGCTTTGGTTATTTGATGTATTTGCCTAAGCCCGTCCAAATTTAATTCAAACTTCTGAAATTTTGTCCAAGCCCGTACCAAATTTAAAAATATCTTGTCAAACTCCTAAAAAAAATTCAAATTGAGTTCAAATTGTTCGAGTTGAGTCTGCTTAAGTTGCATCCCTAACGATGCTACCTCAAAATATCATTTTTTCCGATTAAAATAAAAAAAGGGCAAATTACATATACACCCCTCGAGGTTTGGCTAAATTACAGATACCCCTAAGGTTTCAGAAATTACATCCCGCCCCCTGAGGTTTGTATTTTCATAACAATTTGCCTCTAAATTACTTTAATCTCATGTAATGACTAATAATTTGTATATATATATTTAATATTTTTATATAAGTATATATTTATAATTCGGGTTTCAGATTGCTTGGGTTGTTTGATGTATTTGCCCAAGCCCGTTCAAATTTAATTCAGGCTTCTGAAATTTTGTCTAAGCCTGTACCAAATTTAAAAATATCTTGTCAAACTCCTAAAAAAAATTCAAACTGAGTTCAAGTTGTTCGAGTTGAGTCTGCCTAAGTTGCATCCCTAACGATGCTACCTCAAAATATCATTTTTTCCGATTAAAATAAAAAAAAACAAGACCGCACAAACCAAACAAGCCCCGTATTTCTTGACTCAGACACCTCACGATTGAACCCACTCTAGTTAGTCAATTCGACTCTCGTTTATCTATCTAGCCATTGAGTCAGAGAGATAGAGAGAGAGAGAGAGAGAGTTGTGTTCGAACTCGTTTGTTTAATTCGATGGTGAAAATTTTTTGAAGCTGAGTTTGAGACGTAGTAATGGCTAGTACCGGTGCTTATAGAAATGGTGGTACTCAAAAGGGGCCCCTGAAACTGGATAGGCCTCTCTCCTTGAATTTGAACCCCAAGTCTGCTTCCTCTTCCTTCAAATCCAAGCCCTCCCCCACCGCCTCCGGTCTCCGCCGCAGCACCACCGCCTCTGTCAAGGCCGATGCTGCAGGTCTCTCTCTCTCTCTAGCTACTTTGATTGGTTCATAATTGTGATGGAATGTATTGGATTGGCTTTTAAGTTGTAGTTACATCACAAAGTTGGTTTATTTGGTAGTGTAGAGATTTCTCATGTTTGATTATCATTACTATTTTTTTGGTGAATGCATGAACTTTTGACAAGTAATGACTTTGATGTGCGTGCGTGGATCATCTGCTGGGCATTTTTAGAGATGGGTTTTTGTTTTTTGTTTGGTTTGTGCAAGCTTATATAATCCTACCCACTTTATTGATGGGTTTTGTCAATTTTCATAGGATACCGAATCGGATTGAATGTAGGAACCAACCAGTTAATGTCAATTGGAATATCTATTTGTCGCTTCCAATGGGACCTTGTTCTTGTTCTTGTTATATATATATATATATATATATTTATTATTATTATTATTATTATTATTATTATTATTATTTTTTGTCAGTCTAGCGACCTTCAAAGCTGGGGTAGCAGCATATTTTTTGTAGCCATGATCAAGCCCTGCTCTTTTCTGCTCAATTTTTGGACTTTATTTTTTATTTATTGTATAGGGCTCCATTTGTGTCATGTTTATAAGTATTCTATGCCGAAAAAGATTCTAATTTATCTATTGAAAGTTAAGTACAGTAATTGAAACATCAAGAAGATTTGCAAAGCAAGAACTGTATAATACTTTTGAGTCCAGCATCGGTATAGTCATATCATGGATGGTCTAATGCTATTTAGGATCACAAAGGTCATGAATGGTGATGACGATCCTGAGAGTAGGCCAATCTTCTTCTATTCTCTTGTTTCTATACTTGCATGTTGGCTTATGAAGGAGATTTGAAGTGCTGGAACAAAAACACGAATACGGGCCATTTAGTTTTTTCTTTCCACACCCAATGACCTTGATAATTAAATCTTTGAAAAAGAAAAATCATAAATATAGTTGCAAGATAGTAGCCCCATTTTCCAGTGCTTACATGACATAGGAGTACTCTGATCTGTCAAGTAGTCCCTACCACTATGAGAAGGGGGCCTCAAGATTCACTTCCTTCAAATTCAGAGGGGAGCTGTACCTTCCTAGATCAGCCAATTTTGCCATGCTGCTTCTGCTGCTACTACTACTCCATTACCGAAGTTGCAACAAATGGTCTTTCGGACATTCTCATATCCATTAATGTCGCATGCTGATATTTTTTTTGAGATGGAACATTCCTGCACACTTTTACATGAACTATTTATACTGTAATTACTCTGATTGATGCTTCTGGGGGAGCTTCTTGAAGTTTTCTATCAAAAATTCAAACCATTCATCATGTAAGATTGTTTGATTAGTTTTAATGGTAACTGTCAATTGCAGAATGATCGATTTGTTTTGGCTCTGCAGAGACCTAGAATCATGATATGTTTGTGTTAATACATGCAATTATAATGTAATTTAAAATGTAGAACAATTTAAAGATTGAAATGCTCTTGTTTGACTTAACAAACAAAGTGTTTGTAAAACGGATACTGATATGTGACTACAGTGCCTGGTTCAATTTCTGGTGATAACTTTGATTTTTTATTCTTTGGTAGGAAGTTGATTCATGCATCTTATTACTTAAATCTTTAATGTAAACACTCTTACAATCTTTTTGTGCTGCGGCTTACAAAGTTAATAGCAATGTCTATTGTTAAGGAAGGGGACTGGCTATGTTATAATGGCAGAGAACTTTTTACATATATTTTTTTGTTAAGAAGTGAGGAATTACTGGTATACATCTCACATATAGCTATGTTTCCTCATAGTTTCTGGGAGAGTTCGAGTTGCTGTAAGATTACGGCCCAGGAATGCAGAGGAGTTGGTTGCTGATGCTGATTTTGCTGATTGTGTGGAATTACAGCCTGAGGTATTCCCAATGTCATTTTCATCATACTCGATTCGGCACAGGAATTTTACAACCAACTACTTCTTAGATGATTGTTGCTTTGTCATTCTATTATAATTCATCATCCATTTACTTCATTGCAGCTCAAAAGGTTAAAGCTTCGAAGAAACAATTGGGATTCAGATACTTATGAGTTTGATGAAGTGCTAACTGAATTTGCTTCACAAAAGCGTGTTTACGAAGTTGTGGCAAAGCCTGTGGTTGAAGTGCGTATGAATGAATTTGTGATATATTTAATAAGGCTTTTTATCCATTTGTGTGTCATGTTTTGACATTTTTAAGGACTTGACTTGTGCATGGATAATTGTTTCTTTATATATTTTTACTATTTAAATTAATTTTAAAGAAATATGATCATGTCTTGGATGTCAATAATAGTGTTCCAGTTGCTGTGATAGTGAACTATTTTACACTTGATGTAGATTTTAACTTCATGAGATCTGCTTGCTTGTCATTTGCTTTGACAGAGTGTGCTGGATGGTTATAATGGGACAGTCATGGCATATGGGCAGACTGGCACTGGAAAAACATATACACTGGGGCGACTTGGAGAAGAAGACACAGCTGATCGTGGAATAATGGTGCGTGCAATGGAGGATATTTTAGCAGAAATTTCCCCAGAGATCGATTCTGTCTGTGTCTCCTATTTGCAGGTTGTTGCATTTACAGAGATAACATGTCTGAGTATTCTGATTGTTGCTTGTGGCATATTTTACTACTCTATTAGGGGAATTTTCACTTTTCAATAAAGCATATTTTGTTTAAATTTGTGAAAGATTTGTGACATTTTGTTGAAATATTTTTTCTAATTTCATAATTTGTTATTTGTTATCTTTACATATATATGCAGCTTTATATGGAGACTATACAGGACCTCCTTGATCCTTCTAATGATAACATAGCCATCATGGAAGATCCGAAAACAGGAGATGTTTCACTCCCTGGGGCTACCATAGTGGAAATCAGGGACCAGCTGAGTTTTGTGGAACTTCTACGATTAGGGGAAGCTCACCGCTTTGCTGCTAATACAAAGTTGAACACAGAATCTTCTCGTAGTCATGCCATTCTAATGGTGAGTGAACTGCTTTTCTTGTCTTCTGATGGTTATGCATTTGAAATAACTGGAAGTGTGTTGGCAGTCTTGAAACTGTTGCATGTTATTCACATCACAAGTTTTCTTGCTGCAGGTGCATATAAAGAGGTCTGTCAAAGGGAAAGATTATGCTCTTTCAAATGAAAATGGTAACACGTCCAACATGCTAAAGACTCTAAAGCCTCCCATTGTTCGGAAAGGAAAGCTAGTTGTGGTTGACCTTGCAGGTTCAGAACGAATTGACAAGTCAGGCATGTGTGACAAACTATGGATATGAATATTTATTTTGATTTGTTACTAATGATTGTGATTATTCCTTATTCCTGCATTGCTTCTGTTGTTACCTTGTTTTCCATTGATATGGGAAGGGGCGTGTATGTTTTCTTGAACTGAAGCTTTTCCTTCAAAAAGTGTAGAACATTTGCAGTTAAGAATAATGCCATATGGATGTGTATATATGCATCATCATGATAAATTATAGTTTGATCTTTGGTATCTAGGTTGAGTTTTTATTAGCTTAAAAATGCACATGTTGGGTTTCAAAATATAGTAGAAACAACATTACATATTTGTGAGAAATATGGAAGTCAAGCAAACATATTAGACTCATTTAGATGTGAATTAGTTAAAAACAAATATCAAGTTGTGTTCAACTGCATTTATATTTTTTGGTTCTACATTCTTTGCTGAAGTTCAAGACCTTTCATATGTTCCCATTGTTAAAGACTTATGTTCAACTGCATTTAGAAGTTGTGTGAAGCTAAAAGCTATAATTCACATATATTACAAGTGATTATATTTTGTTTGTCCAACCGATGACTTCTGTATGAATTTCATCAAGTTGCTTTTGCTGTAGATTACTGAGAAATTATGTTAGATGAACTGAGTTACTGAGGTATGGATTTTGAGTGCGGATATATATCTAAGCACTAGATTTGTGCCCATGCCCAAGACACAAGACATGGCTAGATATTCATATTTCAAAAAATATATATATATATTTATAGGGGAAAATGGAGTTTACATACTAACGTAGAGCATGTTATGCACAATTTGTTTTATAACCTCAATTACTTGACATGCTTGTTGGGTGCATGCATCTAGACATGTTGGACACATATCCCATACCCTACTCGAGTTTGCGAAAGGGACTTAGCACATTCAGAACAGTCTATGTAACATAGATGATGAATTCCTATTGTATATGAGACTTTTGCTTGCATATGATGTGACTGCATATTTGTGCCACTATAAATTTGTGATAAAGAGAAATTATAGATTTTGAGGGGGGATTTACGTTGGTTGCTTACTAGGGAAGATATCTCTGGGATATTGATTTCTTAGTACTTATGTTTCTTTTTCTCCTTCGACGATAGGTAAAACCTATGTTACTTGGAACGTGGATCGTTCCGGTACATAGAATAGGAATGAGAACATGACACGTCACATGCTCTAAAATGTGGTACGATAGGAGTAGACTAAGACTAGTACATATTACACTTACGAATTTAAGATACTTTTAAAATAATTTTCTTTTAACTATTAGATATCTAATAAAATATATATATTTTTTATATAATGTTTGTCTTGTGAAAACTTAACTCGTCTTAGATTTTAGTTTATTATATTTGATTTTGTTCTTCCTAAAGTAACATTTAAGGAAATATATTGGAAAAAATTTTTGGGAACACCTTGGGTCACTAAATTTACTATTTTGGAAAAGAAGTTTATCATGTTTCGGAACGTGCGTACCAATACGCAATTTAGAACAGAAGTGTACCATAAGTGTTTTTTGCAAATTTCTAAATTTTATTATTTTGTGTGGCTATATTACTTTCTTAGGTTATGCTCTGTCTTGCCTATTGAAGTTTGTTTATATGTTTGCCATTCTGCAGGAAGTGAGGGACATACTCTAGAGGAAGCTAAGTCAATCAATCTGTCATTGAGTGCGCTAGGGAAATGTATTAATGCACTGGCAGAGAATAGCGCGCATGTTCCAGTACGTGATTCAAAGCTTACAAGATTGCTTCGAGATTCATTTGGAGGTGAAATGCTCACACTTATGGTTACTTAGTTTGGTTCTGTTGAATTTGATCAGAGTATGTATGACATGATTGTTTCATTCAAATATGTGCACATTAATAATGGAGGGTGAAGTCTCTCAAGTATGTGACTACTTCGGTTTTCTAAAGCTTTTTGTATGGCTTGGAAGTGAACTGGGACCCAACTTTGAACTGTGCTGTTTTGGGTGACAGAAAAGTTTAATGATCGTATGATAAATCCTTTTAACTCTACATTCATTTGGAAGCAAAAATATCATTTGAGAAATGCTGGGGTGTGGTTAATTACCTATTTGTCCTAAATTCAATTACATGCTGAGTTTCTACTTATTTAACATATTCCATAAGGTCTATAAATTTGTGGAACCTGGCCAAATGTTACCACTGTAGATATTCAATCACTGTACCACTTTCTCTCTGATGCTGGCTCAGAAGATACCATTATAATTTTCTGATACTGTTTCAGGTGGCAGATACCTTACATTGGCAGTCTTTTTAATTGCATCATTGCTTTGCTTCATATTTGTTTTTCATGAACCAGTGCTGGAAATGAATTTATTAAATCAAGAGCAATATGTGTTGCCTGACTATGTTACATTCTTACAGGCACTGCAAGAACTTCACTAGTTGTTACTATTGGTCCCTCTCCACGCCATCGAGGAGAGACAGCATGTACTATAATGTTTGGGCAGAGGGTATGTTTGAAATTATTAATTTGCTCTTTAATGTTGTGAAGTTTCATGGATGGGCTCCTCTAGTTGCCATGGTCATTCCGTCCCCTTAATTTAGCTGTTGCCATTATTGTCTCAGTTTTCGTTGACCATGCTGATTACAATGTTTGTGATTAGTTTCCTGAAGTATTTTGCTGAAATAAAAGTATGATGATCTATCCATTATTCGATGAAAAATGCTAATGACCACCCATAAGGCTGTCATTAGTCTCGGTAGGCTTGCAAAAGTGTATTAAAATGTGTCGGAAGTGTGTAGAAATAAATCAGAGTGCTTTGAAATGTGTAAAAAATTCCGTTAGAACCTAACATTTTGGCATTTTCCCCTAATTGATAGCCCATTGAGCTGTCATTAGCATGACCCTTAGTTAATTCTTTTCATCATTGGGGGGATGCTAAAAGTTTGCCTTTCATAGGCTATGAAGGTGGAGAATATGTTAAAAATCAAGGAAGAATTTGATTACAAGAGTTTGTGCAGAAGGCTTGACATACAGTTGGACAAACTTATAGCAGAGAATGAGAGGCAACAAAAAGCATTCCAGGATGAGATTGAAAGAATAACTATAGAAGCACAGAAACGTATCTCCGAGGCTGAAAGAAACTATGCAGATGCTTTGGAAGTAAGCACATGCATTTCCATTTGTCTGTAATGTGAGCATTTATCTTATAAATATCATATGCTTTGCTGTATTTAAGAATCAGACCTGTCAATATATTACTGCTAATAATGCAATATATTGAATTATTATTTATTTATTTTGGATAAGATATAATTGTATTCTTTATGTTTAGATGCATTTCTGTATATAAATGTATTTCTTCATAAATTAACATTTCAACATTTTCCTCATTTTGGTTTGTAGTTGGGTTTTATTTTGACTGAGGCCTCGTTTGGGAACCCTCATTTTTAGCCAAAAAGTCAAAAAGTTACTAAATTAGCCAAAAAGCCAACAACCCATACCAAGTCAAAGATTCTCTTTTCTCTCTACTTTGTGCACATTTTTTCGTAAAAAGTCAAAAAGTCATCCCAAACATATTAGTTTTTTTTAGCTCATATTTTAGCCAAATAGCCAAAAAATTACTAAATTAGCCTGTTCCCAAACGAGGCCTAAATGAAAAAGATAAAAAAAAGAATCTTCTTCAATTGTCTTTTTTTGACTCTAAGCTTGAGCAGGATTTGGTGAATAATGGTCTGGATTTGTGCTGTGAGTTGGTTTCACTGCTTTTTGAATGCTTGCTAAACTCTATGTTGTTCATTTCTGTAGAAGGAGAAACTAAAATATCAAAAAGAATATATGGAATCATTGAAGAAGCTTGAAGAGCAATGGTCAAAAGACCAACAAATGCGTGGCAGTGGGAAAACCAGAATTGAACACAAAAATGATGGCCTTGTCAAGACATTTAAGGAAGAGGTATCCAGTTCTGACATTATACCATTTCTCATATATTGTGTTTAGTGGCATTGGTACTAAACTGGTTATGTTCTTAATAGCTATGTCTTTCTACATGCAATGGCAAGGTAGTAAGTGTGTTAAGATCTTCCTTATGACAGTTATTTGTCTCTGATAGACTCTTCTTCGTAGTGTATGTGAAAAGGACTTGAATTCCTGATATAAGGTTCAGACTACAACCTATGAAGCATCGACACTTAAAAACAAGTGCCGTAGCCATGTCGGACAAGAGGACACGGCGAGGACATGCCACATGGCGTGTTCCCTTATTTGATTAATTTATTTTTAGGGGACACGCCGGGAACACTTCAGAAACACACTAGGGACATGTCAACTTGTCTTTTCTCCAATTTTCGTTAGTGTTTTTGATGAATATTGGATGTTGAATTTTTTTTTCCCTTAGATTTAAATACTTAATAGATCATCCATAAAAAAAAATATAAATTGTAAGTGTTAATTTATTTATTTTTTAATACAGAATTAGAGTTAGTTTTTTGTTAATATTGATTATTTGTGGATGTAATATTAATCTAGATAGCAAATAAAAATATATGAAAACATATTTTATTGTCATGTCCCCGTTGTGTCCATGTCCCCATTTTTTTGAAATTGCTGTGTCCCGTGTCCACATCCGCTTCTGTGTCCGTACTTCTTAGACTACAACTGATTCCAAATGGTCTTCAAGGTAGGTGGTGACTCTTCTAATAGTGCCATTCTTTATCATCCTTTTGTTTGAATTTAACCTTTCATATTCTTGAAGATCATAAAAAAGAAGAGTAGAAATTCTGCAAGTAGGTGTACTTCTAAAAGAAACATAATCTGATGTATGGATTTGCTTCTACACCTTTGTCTCTGCAAGTATATAACCTAGGCCAATAAAATTGCATCTCTGAATTGTTCTTTTCTTCCCCTCATAGTTTTATTCAATAAGTAAAATAACAAGAAGTGGTGCTGAAAGAAACCCAAAGATCCTATGTGCTATATATCTACAGGCATGTACAAATCTCCCAGAAACTATATAAAAGAATAAACATAGATAGGCTACAGTTGTGGGTTGTGGGTATGTGTTTAAGTGCCCAATTCATCTAATTCTCATGTCCTACAGATTTGGGGACACACAAAATAATCATATTGCCTAATATACTTTTGTTTATTTTACTTTTATAGGATAAGATGGTGTTCACAAGGTGTTAAATCATTTCATACATAATAGAGGGTTTTATGCATAAGTTTATGGTTAATATGAATTATTAAATATATTTGCTAGGTGAATGATCATCTACACACACCGGACACATCCCATGTCCCTACCCAAAGTGTCGAGTCTCCGCCATGAGTACTCCATAGTCCATACCACTAGAGAGATCATAAAATGGCCAAAACCTTTCATCCTTGTCCTAAATTGTTCATTAGAGTTTTCTTTTCTCTAACCCCCTGATACACTGTATTTCTATGAAGGACAAACACTTCAAAATAGGCACCATAGCGGTGTCGGACACGGGGATATGCCGGGGACACGCCAAATGGCATGTCCCTTTAATTTTATTATTTTTTTTGTAGGGGACATGGCAGGGACACGCCAAATATGGACACATCATGGGACATGCCAAATGGCGTATCCCTTTAATTTAATTTTTATTTTTATTTTTTGCAGGAGACACAGTGGGGACACGTGTATCCAAATATGGATGATTTATTAATTTGTTTAAATTAGTGGTTTATATATATATATATATATATAAATATTGAATTAATGTTTGTTTTTATTAATTTTGATTGTTTAGTAACATAATATTAATCTACATAGCAAATATATATATAGATTTGCCGTGTCCCCTGCTGTGTCTGTGTCCCCATTTTTTGAAATTACTGTGTCCGTGTCGGTGCTTCATAGCTGTATTCTGACTTCCTTCTCTGCCACCCCCATCCTTACCACAGCGTTTTGCTTTAAAGAAAAATCAAACCCACACACCTCATTTTGCCCATGCATCATGAAAAAGATACAAGGATTATTACCCTCTGCTGTGACTGCCTCAGTTTCTGATCTAATAACCTCTACCACCTGAACCAGAAAGTGCACCCGATTGCCATCTGCAAAGAATAACATACCAACTGCGTATCATTCCACCTTTGCTATAGCCCCAACCACTTTGAAATTATCGGCTCAACTCTCCTGAAGCTTCCGATTCTTCTAGCTCTAAAACTTTTCGGCACCTTATGATTTTTCAACTATGTTTTGTTAGAACTTCTTGGGGGATACACCAAGTTTCTAAAAACTTGTTTTGTGTATTCAGAAGACTTATTTCTATACTTGCTCCATCTGGTTGTGATACTTGTACAACTTTGTAACATGGTTATATTCTTATTGCTTTTGAAAAATCTGTCTTTCGATCTACTTTCATATGGACCGACAAAGGTTACATGCTTGCTTCTGGCAGGCTGAGTTGACATCAAGCCTCCAATAGATCAAACTAACTGCTATATTGTACTGCATTCTCTTTGGCAATGATAGCCAATCATCTTCTTTGTGATACACAGGTTCCTGCAGTGTCCTGTGTTGAGGAAGTTACTGAGGTTAAAAGGTTGCTTCAAGATGAAACTCTTTTAAGGAAGTCTGCAGAAGAGGAAGTCAATAATCTTAGGAATCAACTTATTCAATGGAAAAGGACAGAAGTATGCTTTTTAATACCTCGATGAATGTCTTATTTCAGCATCACCTGTTTTCTTTTGCTTTCATAGTATAATATCCAATATACAAAGTAACACTATTGGTGTAATAGGCAGCAGGGAATTCTGAGATCTCAAAGCTTCGCAAGTTGCTGGAAAATGAGGCACATCAGAAACAAAAACTTGAAGAAGAAATAGCTGTGCTACAAAGTCAACTATTGCAAATTAGTTTTGAAGCTGATGAGGTATGCTGCCATACAGTTGATAAATATGTTTGTGTGGTTTTTAATATTGTTTTTTGAAAGAAGGATCTATAAATGATATTTTAGCTTAAATCAGAATATACCTGAGCTGTTAAAAGTTCATGTCAGTTGATAAATGTGGAGAGTTTGCAGTGATGACATGGTTGAGGGGCAGCCTTTTGGGAAGATGGCGGGCATTGAGATGGGACAGGATCACCAAAGGTGGAGGAGAGAGTGAAGACAGTTTTAGGAGAGAGGGAGGATAGTATTGTAGGATCTTGCTCTTTCTTAAGGTGAAAGAGATGATCAACACATACATGTAACCTCCCTTATATAGGGAAGTCGAACCACGGGGGACAACATAGCCATGGACAAGGGGCGGTTCCCTTTGGTTTGATAATTTAGAGGTTTCTCACCTATCCAATGTGCATATGACAGGCATTGAAAGTTGTGTCATGGGATGCTAGTGGGTAGGTATGATAATTGATGAGCCTTGGGGAACTATCATGGAGTCATGGAGGTTGCAGTGTTAGGTATGATCGACATTACGCGGACTCAGCTATGGGTATCGGGTGCGGGTGCGTATCTCGGAGTCGGACACTTCAAAATTAAAAATTGAGGATACGTGGATACGGATCCAAATTTGGATACGGGTACGGGGATACGTTAAATAGTTAAATTTTTAAAATATATTTATTATATAAAGATGAGTTAAATAGTTATTTTTTAAATATATTTTTTATTTTTTATCTTATGTATTATTTTTATTGATAATATTTTTAATTTATTTTTTTACCTTTAATTGAAATATATATATTATAAATAAAAAATATATAATAAATAAGGAATAACAAATTATGTTAAAATAAATAAAAAATAAATAATGTAATTTATAGATTTTATTAGATTTTTTATTTTTTTTTATTATATATGATTTAATTAGATATTATTATATAACAAATTATATGATTTATTTATTATATGGTAAACAAGACACAAGAGGAGAGAGAAGAAAGAAATAGATCGACAAAAGGAAGAGAGAAAACATATCAACAATAGGGAGAGAGAAAATAGATCAGGGAGAGAGAGAAGAAGAAGAAGAAGAAGAAGAAGAGATGGATCGACTGAGAGAGAGAAGAGGAGATCGACAAAGAAGATCAATCGAGAGACGAGATTGAAGAATCGATTGGCGCGAGACAGAGACGAGGTCGATCGAGAGACGAGATCAACAGTGAAGGATCGATTGGGGCGAGATCAAAGCCGACGACTAGAGAGAAGTTGGCGACCAAGTTCTTGCTCTCTCCTCTTTCATTTCTTCTGTATTTAGGGTTATTTCGTTGCTTCTATATTTAGGGCAAAATATAGCCATATCTATTTATAATGAGCCGTATCCCGGCCATATCCTGCACTCGTACCCGTGTCGTGTCGTGTCGTGTCGGCATAGGTACCCCTGAAATTCCAAAGAGTCCGTGTAACATAGGGTATGATACAACTTTCGAAGTGTCATAGTTTGGTCAATGATGGCCTTGTCTACTTGTAGTTGTCCTCTCTCTAAGACTGGTCAAGGTGGAGCCACCATGAGGGGGTGAGTTAGGCAACCTTGACAATCCCAACTTTAGTTCCAAACTGCAAATCCTATAGTGATCCCAAATGGGGATTCTTGGTCCCTACTCCCACCCTAAGTGATTATGGTGGTGATGGGGATACCTCTAATACGTAGAGATAGAAATAACCTGCTAGAGAAAGAGAAATGAGGCATCGAGGATTATGCCTTAGAAGGGAGTTACTTGGCCTAGAGCCAAAGAGATGCCAAGCCATGTTTTTTTTTTTGGGGGATAAATAAAACAAGCTTTATTGCGAAACAATGAAGCACAGACGGACACGGACACAGACATGCGGATATGCAAATTTTCAAAAAATGGGGGACACGACACGCTGGGGACACGTTCAATATATATAATTAAATTTATTTATTATATGTTATAAAATTATAAAAAAATTAAAAGGCAGAGAAAATAAATAAATGAATAAATAAACTAATCAACCAAAAAAAGAATATAAATAAATAATAGAAATAGAGATAGAGATAGAGGTAGAGATAGAGAGAGAATAGTTAAAAAAAAAAAGAAACAATATAAAAAAAAATATATCACAAAGAGAGAAAAAGAGAGAGTGAATCAGCATATAAAAAGAAAAGAAAAAACAAAACAAAACAGAGATTGAGAGAGAGAGAGAGAGATTGAGAGAAGTCGAACGGAGAAGAAGATCGAAAGAAGATGAAAGAGAGAGAGAGCAGATTGAGAAAGAGAGAGACAGAGCAATTGAGATACAAAAATTGAAAAGAAGAAGAAGATCGAAAGAAGAACATACCTTCGCAAGAGCAAAGAGCAGCCAGCAGCCTTCTCTTAACCTCTTATCCTTTTTCTATTTGAAATCAGGTTAGGGCTTGGTTTGATTTCTTCAATTTTTGTTTTTTACAAATTGACCCCCACTTGAAGTTTCATAAATTCTATTTTTGATCCCATGGTGTCCGAAACATGTCCATAACGTGTCCGGCTGCAAAAAAAGAAAAGAAAAAAAAGGGCACCTTCTACGACGTGTTGGACACGTGTCCATCGTGTGTTGGACACGTGTCCATGTCCGACACGTGTTGGACACTGATACGTAGCCCTTGGGGAGGTGTCCGTGCTGCATAGTTGAGAAAGTATCAAGGTGATGCAAAGCATACAATAATTAAGAACCAAAAGACACAGCACATAAAACGCAAAATAGAAAAAGAGATGCCAAGCCATGTTGCTGCCAAGTAGAGACAGTTTGGTTGAGCAGAGAGTCTCAGCCTAGCTAATCGGTGCACTAGGCCACTTTTTGGAATGTTTATGCAATTCCCTAGTGGAGATACACCTAAGACGTGTGCTCATTCCTTGGCACCATGGATTGAAACTAGTCAAGCTGCCACATTTGATGGTTCATGGCTAGAGCTGCAAACGAACTGAGCCGAGCCGAGCTTTGCTGTGCTCGTGCTCAAGCTCGGCTCGATAAAAAACTGAGCTCTAGCTCGGCTCGTTAAAATTAATAGAACTCGAGCTCGGCTCGGCTTGGCACGGCTCAATAATTTTTTTTAATATTATTTATATTATTTAAATAAAAAAAATTATTTAATATATAAATAATGTATTTATATTATTATTTATATATTATTTAATATATAAATAATATATTTATTATATAATTTAAATAAAGATAAATGAGCCGAGCTTATATGAGCTCGAGCTCGGCTCGTTTACTAAACGAGCCTAATATTCAAGCTCAAGCTCGGCTCGTTTACTAAACGAACCGAGCCGAGCTTGTTCATGAACAGCTCGGTTCATTTGCAATCCTATTTATGGCCCTTGATTAACTTAGGCCCATAACCCCAATAACTAATCTTGTAAGTTGTAGATGATTTGCAGATGATGTGGGGCTAGGGGAGCTCGCTACTTTGAGATCCTTGTTTGTGTTGGAGATAATGTGGCACCTACGAGTATTTTGAATGAAAAAAGGACAACTATTATTTGTAGTGTTGGATAGCTTGATAGCTTTTGAAAATTTTAGTGATTTAACATGGTATCAACTATGTTACTTGAAATGTGAATCATTTTGGTACATGAAAAATAGGAAGATCTGATGCTTGGATATGTACCCGCACCCGATACTCATACCGAGTCCGTGTAACATAGGCTGTATGCAAGCATTCCTAAATTTATTGCATGAAGAAGAATGATTTCAGTTCTTGGTACTATTAACTTCTGAATTTGGATGTTTGAGAGTTCACAGTCCTGTTGTGTTGGGTGTCTTGGTAAATGAACAGGACCCGCCTAAAGACTGTAGTTTTTGCACCCAAACGCATGGACTAGTATGCATGCACCTCTGACAAGCATATTTGAATTCTGAATCTGAAAACATGTACTTTTGCAGACAAGAAGACGACTTGACGGAGCTGTAGCTGGGAAAGTTCCTAGTGGCCTAGGTTCTCTCATTTCTCAAGTTGTGCATCCGCAGCTGAGAGATTCAGGAGATGGGGAGAAGGCATCAATAGAAAAACTCTTTGAGCAAGGTCGTGGACATGTTTCCACTTATATTTACTATTCTGCTGCTCATTTTTTATAATTCATCTGTCTATTGTCTTCATTTTTGTTCTCATAAACTTCAGTGTTCTAACAGTGGGATTGCAGAAGATTTTGTCATTGCTTGAAGCCGAAGATGCTGATGTGCGAATTCATGCTGTAAAAGTTGTGGCAAATCTTGCTGCTGAAGGTAACTCAGTACTTTTTTATTATGTTCTTTACTCATTCCTATATTCTCATGAACTCTTTGTATTGTGGGAGGACACGAAGAATACCAATTTCCAAAAAAATCAATTTAAGGGGAAATAGCCTTATATATACACGTGTTTGTTGAAGAATACACAAACATACATATACTTTATATTTACAGTGAGGATTTACATTTCCAGCCATAGAAATGTCTTATCCAATAGTTCTATCCGTACAAAGAAGGAAAAGAGAAGCAAGTGCAGTAAAAACAAAAAATCGACACGAGAATTGTATCTGACGAAGGGGATGCCCAGACATCCCATGAAAGTCCTTGTGCAATTTGAGATATTTTCGAATGTTGGCAAATTACTTTTTCTGATAATATACATATTCAGAATCCCCCTCCCCTCCGTTAAATCATTGTTAAAGTGATATAACAAAATCTGCTGACATAAGCTGTTTTTATTGCATAAATACCAAAAGTTCCCCAGGACGTAAATACTAAATAATATATATATTTTTATATAATATTAAAAAAATCAAAATTTCAATCAGATTTTGATACAATTTTACATCAATAAAAAATATCCAATAATTTTTTGACACAATTCCATGGGTGTGATCGCCACACTTAATAGCTTTCACTTAATTCTTTGGTGTTTTCTCCGCATGGATCTCCATTTGTCGATGGCTTATCAAGTGAGTGTAGCCTGAAAGGATTCCTAATGGTGAAAGTTGCTTTTTATTTCACATAAACACATTCTATGCCCACAATACATGGTCCTTCACCTGAGCCTTATATCAGTGGGTGTGTGTATTTGAACTTCCTTTTCATATATAAAATTTGACTAATGATGGTGAGGATGATGATTACCTGGCTTGTTATTTGAAGTCTTGATACACAGCTCATGAACCATTAGTACTTGCTGGTTTGAGTACATTTCTGTATAGGAATGGTATTTTACTTTTGTCTATTTCGCAGAAACAAATCAAGAAAAGATTGTGGAAGCTGGAGGTCTTACATCCTTATTAATGCTTCTCAGAAGTGCTGAGGATGAGACCATTCACAGAGTTGCAGCTGGTGCAATTGCAAATCTTGCAATGAATGGTAAATTTCCATTACTTTTGTTTCGTAGAACATCTTACAATCTTAAAGCCATGTATCGCTAATTTTGGCGTAGGTACTTGGTTTGGTATCTGTCCATTGCATGTAACATTTATATTTGTCTTGACAGAGACCAACCAGGAGCTTATAATTGCTCAAGGGGGCATTAGTTTATTGTCAATGACCGCAGCCAATGCTGAGGATCCTCAAACTCTTCGGATGGTTGCTGGAGCCATAGCCAATCTTTGTGGAAATGGTAATCTTCCTTCTTGTTGATCTTCATTCGACCAAACTTGGGTCCCTTGTGAAGGTTGTAAGAAGTTTTGCTTTAGCCAGCATATGAGATTTATGGTTAATTTATGCACACACTGAAGAGAGATTAAAACGTAACCCATGCAAGTAAAACTGTATTGAACATTACAAATATATATTTTCCACTTCCAAATCCAATTTGAAATGGTTGATCATATTGCTATTCCTCAAGTAACCTTTCTCATGCACAATGGGCATAATAGAGATATTGTGCCGTCCCCTTTACCAACTTGAAATGACTTGCATTGGCAGAATTGTCAATCTCCCAACTTTACCAGAATCTTCTGCTTCATCTCGTCATTTTATTGGAAATTATGTAAATATTCTCCATAAAGCAACTTTTTTTTAGTATTACTGCTACATTTAATCTGAAAACCATTGATTGGCAATTGATTATAGTATTGTAGTTTATTGGTGTTCAGACAAGCATGTTGGTCCTATATGAATATGAACTGGTAGTTTTAACATGTTAGCTTGGTTACTGATGAGAATGTTGATTGCAACTTGTCTTTGACTGGCAACCCTGCTGTGAACTGACAACTATTATGTTGCAACTTTTAGATAAGTTACAGACGAAGCTGAGAGGTGAAGGCGGGATTAAGGCTTTACTAGGAATGGTGAGATGCAGGCATCCAGATGTTCTTGCTCAAGTTGCCCGTGGAATTGCAAACTTTGCAAAATGCGAGTCCCGGGCATCTACTCAAGGTAATCTGAGAAATAGGCCCTTCTGGAACCCATAGCTGTTTTGATTTTTACTGAGTGTTCTGTTCTTTAACTTCCTAAATTTGAATGTTTAGATCAATTTCTGCCAATTTTAACAATAAGCGTAGAATTATAATTCAATATTTAGGTCTGTCAACTTGAATCTGATCAAACTTGAAACAGGGGTGTACTAAAAGCATAAAAAGTCTTTATAATCTATACTTGTAATGAGGAAAGACCAGGGGCAATACTAAAATTAGTGATACTGTGTTACACCCATCTTTCTATTAACTAAGATGGTAAAGATGTAAAATTAAATATAACTAATAGGATAAATATGTGTAATTACTACTAATTAAAGAATAAAATATAAAACAAAACCACAAAAATGCATGGAAAGTGGGTTGGTGGGATAAGAAGTGTGAATTAAGTAGGATAGAGGGAAAAGATGGAATAGGATTAAAAGTAAATAATTAAATATACATAAAACAAAACCACATAATTCAATGAACTTTAAATATATACATATATATATATATAAGTCCACTTTTACATGCACTCGAGTAGGTCATCTTGTTACATGTATTTAAGTGTTTAATTTGTTTATATTTTTTCTGAAAAATACCGACATGCCGCTCTATTGTTGGGTGGCCACATGGACTGGTGTTCTGAGAACACGAGATAACTTCTCCACTAACAAAGAATAGCATGAAAAGTGGATTCGTGAGAGAAAAGTAAGAATAAGCAAGGTAGAGAAGTAGGGATAAGATTACTTAATTAATAAATAAATATTAAAAAAATGAATGGAACTAGAATTAATGCATGCACCTGGATGAGTGTTTTCCTTTTAGTTTGCAATATGCTAATGCATTGTGTTACTGTTGATCTCATTACTGCAGGGACTAAGACTGGGATATCTCTTCTGATTGAGGATGGTGCACTCCAATGGATTGTACAAAATGCAAACAATGAAGCCTCACCAATCAGGCGGCACATTGAGCTTGCACTTTGCCATTTAGGACAACACGGTGAGTTTGCTTTACCTGTTTTCACCTTGAAACCTGAATCTCCCCATGGATGGTGTCTGAACTGGTATTAAATTACTACATTTCAGAAGTAAATGCAAAGGACATGATTAGTGGAGGTGCCTTGTGGGAGCTTGTTCGTATTTCACAAGACTGTTCACGAGAGGACATAAGGACTCTTGCTCATCGCACTCTAACTTCAAGCCCAACTTTCCAGGCTGAATTAAAGCGGCTGAGGATAGATTGTGGATGAAGACGTGGAACAATTGAAGTAATGTTGTGTTGCCATTAGCAATAGAAGTTAGTCACACTAGAATGATCGATCGGTCCGCTTGTTGGAGTTTTGTCAATAGTGGGGTGGGCTTGGTTTCTTGTCTTTGCTTTAGCATGAATGAATGTAATCTTATTTCTGAGTGGTTGTTCCATGTCTAGTTTCTGTTAAATGCATAAATTGATTTGTACATGAAATAACATTGGGAAAAGGAAATAAAAATTCAATCTTGTAAAATAAGCTCGGATCCTTAATCATGTCACAGGCACTGACACTGCAGAACAGTTGTTTTCATCAGTTTATGAAATATTTAGGTGTTGCGATGCTTTGCAAAATTACCGAAGATTTTAAAAATTTAAGTGAGTAGAAGAAACCTTTGAGAAACCTAAGTATGGTTCATGATCATTATCGCTGATTGGCTGACACTCTGGTTCAGGTGTTCACTTTGAATAACAGTTCAACTGCTTTTATTCTTCCTGCATTTTGGTGTGGTGATTCGCCTACTAAATTTTGCAAAACATTTCTAACCCATAATTTTGTCTTAAAGATCTTAAAGTTTCTTTTATTGATTCTTTTGCATTCATTGCTATGTTAGAGAGGAAACATCCGGATGCAAACTCGTACTACACCCATTTCATACTGAAGTAACTTTCTATTGTGATTTTTTAGTTGCATATAGTTCTTTTCAATCAATAATTGACATTAGTTTTAGTTTTTCTTAGCTTTATTAAGAGAGAAATTAGTGTAATTATGTTAAATTGTAAGGTTATTTGTATTTTTTTTAAATTTCAAAAAAAGAAAGTGTAATTTACCTCAATATATGTCTTCAAACTCATACACTGCAACGACGACTCCACAACGGTTATTACATCCCAAAATTTGTGTTAGCATAGCATGAGTTTCACCGTATACTAATTTGCTAAACGAACTGAGTGAAAGAGTAACATATGGAAGAAACTCCATAGACACCCCCTTCAGTTAAGGTTTGCACTGTTCTCATATCCTCTTTTCTAAATTCTCTTTCCATCCAATGAGCGACTCTAGCGGTTGCTATTTAATTGTGTTATTGCTAAAATTTAATATGATGGGCACACAACATACACTCAATATCGCGTCAAATTTAAAAATGCTATATAAATTCTAAATAAATTATCAAATATTTTACCAAACCTCTCACATGGGTGTGAGATCCACACAAATCACATGTGTGTGGTTTTCACACTCATGTCAGAGATTTGATAAAATATTTAGTAATTCATTTGAGGTCTCTAGCATAATTCTGTCAAATTTAGTATGATACTATCCACTGTATCAAATTTCTTTAATTGGTAAATGATGTTTTGGCTTAAAATATCACTTAATTTAATCCTTCTTCGGGTGTAAATTTATGCAATGGAGCCGTTGTTATCCCTAAATTTATGCAATGGAACCAAATTTTTTTATTTTTTTATTTTTTTTACCAGCAAAAAAAACTTTATTGATAACCACGAAGTAAAAACAGGTTGATATAAAGTGATACATCAATAAAGAGAGGTTAGTGCTCAAGCATCATATTCTATGTGTCAATCCCACCTAAGTTAGTACTCACACACGAGCTCTATCATATGCTAGCACAAAACCAAGGTTGATAAGGCACCAACTAGATACCATATAGGAACACTCCAACAAAACTAAGCAAAATAACCATCACATAGCAACAACAACACACAGGAACTACCCAATGAGTCAAAAAACATTACCAGCACACAGCAGCAACAATGCTACATAATAGACAAACCAGCAACAGAGTAGAAATACCAGTAAAAACCAAAAGTTCACCCTTCACCCCAAGCAATGTCTGACTAGTAGCCATTCTCCGATTAACACCTCCTTTGCTTCACCCCAGAATTTTACTCAGCAACAGCACATCTCCTCTGCTTTATACACACCCATCAATAGCCCCATCACTGTAAGGTCCCAGTGTTCCACATCGGGAATGGAAGAGGAGTTCCTGGGCTATAAAAGTAAAAATCTGGATCCTTATATAGCATCGAGGCCTTTTTCCAGATGGTGAAATCCCTAGCAGAACTCCCCAGTTAAGCGTGCTCAGGCTAGAGTAATTCTTGAATGGGTGACCCACTGGAAAGAATAAATCCGCGCGGGCATGGCCCGAAGTGGACAATATTGATGACATGTGAAGGGTTGAGGCGTTACAAATGGTATCAGAGCTGACTTTCCGGAGTACCGAGTATGGGCCCCTACTATTTCTCGGTGCATGTGAGCGGGCTTGCGAGCTGGTAGGCTACTGCACAGGGGCGTGTAGCCCTAAGGGGGATGGATTGTAAGGTCGCGGTGTCCTACATCAGGAATAAAAGGGGAGTTCCTAGGTTATAAAAGTAAAAACCTGGACCCTTATATAGCATCAAGGCCTTTTCCCTGATGGTGAAATTCCTAGTAGAATTTCCTAGTTAAACATGCTTAGGATGGAGTAATTCTGGGATAATTACCTGATGGGAAGAACAAATCCGTGCAGGCATAGCCCAAAGCAGACAATATCGATGACATGTGAAGGGTTGGGGCGTTACAAACACACCTCACTTGATACGTCTCCTGATTTGTTGCAAGTTTGAAACAAACTAATTAATTGAATAATCTCTTCCCACCATATTTGACTTCAACCACATGGCCACCTTATGAGCTCACACAGCTCTTCACTATTGGGCTGCACCTCATTAAAAATAACATCATTTCTGTGCTTTCAAACAGACCAAAAATTTGTTACTAGTATTGTTTCCCATATCTATAATTCCCTTTTTTTAAACTTCCAGCCACTCTACCACTGAAGTAGACCTTCTACTGTACCAAGTGTTGCACATTGCATTCCCCACCATTTGATTATGCTAAACCATATATTCCACACAAAATGACAATGTAACATTATATGATTTAATGACTCCTCCTCTGTTCTACAAGGAGCACAGAATAATCCCACTATTGTGTCAACAACCCCAATCTTATATAGGAAATCCACTGTCTTTATTCTCCCTTTCCATACCAACCAAGCAAAGAATTGTATTTTTGGAGCTGCTGCATTGTTCCAGATTAAACCAGACAACCTTTTCTTAGATCCATGAATCAGCTCACACCAGTTGAAAACTGACTTTACACTGAAACAACTGGTACTATCAGCATTCCATCTAATGTTATCCAAGTTTTCCAGGCACAGTCTTGGTCCTGAGCCTAATTCCTCTTTCAAATTTCTTAAATTCTCATCCTCCCATAGCAAAAAAAATCTTCTAAAACTGAAAATCCATTCATCATAATTACCTTTTCTGTCCACCATTTCTTTTAGTGATACCCCTTTATCATTAGAAATGCTAAAAAGTCTTGGATATTTGATGGGTCGTTACACACACCAAATATAAACACTAAATTATACTAAATTCTTTTAGAATAATGGCAAGTTCAGGTATCGATCCACATGGACGAATAAGAAATTAAACTAATTTAATTACTAGATTCCTAAATTAATTTTGATTAAAAAGATTGATGGATATTATGACTAAACAAGAATTAAATGAAATTAAATAATTAAATTGACAATTAAAATTAGGGTTTGAGATATAAATTTTTGAAAAAAATCCTAAGGCAAAGAATTCACCACTAACCATATAAATGAGATTTAATATCAGCTAATAATTGCGATCCGGTTTGAAATACCAAATATTTCACAACTACAAGTTTGAAATATTGATCAAGAGGGTTGTTGCATTTAATATACAGGTACGAATCATCTCGAGTAGCACGAGGCGTTTTCTCTAAACTATGGTAGCAACACGACCCGTCTCTCGTAGCATGACTCGTCTCATATTTTGAACACAAACACAAAGAAAACTAATGTATGGAAAGCACTAGGCAATCACAGATAGTAAAATACTTGAAGATATGAAAGGAAATTTTATTAAAAACTTCTAAATCATCCACACATTGATTCAAACCGATTCACAATCAAAACTAATGAAAAATCCTATTACATAGCTAGGGTTTCATCAAAACCCTAGAAAGAAGAACCTAGCCATTCATGGAGGAGTGGAAAAAGGTGGAAGAGATGGAAGAGGTGGAAGCCCCCATGAAAGTTCTTTTTGAAGCTTAAGGAAAAATCACCGTTTCAAAACCCTAGCCTCCCTTTCCTTAGAATAATTTTCGAACTCTCTTTTAGTTTCTTTTTTTTCCTTTTATTCCCAGTAGAAAAGCCTTAAAATTTCACGCACGCAACCCTAGGTGGGCCGCTTGAGTGCCTATGTGGGCCGCTCAAGCGATGGTGGGCCACATGTACAGTGAAGCTTGGCCGCACGTGCGATGAGATGGCTGGCTTGGATTTTTTGCTTCTCGCCCAGAGAATTTGCTTTCGCACCCTTTTTGATTGAATTTGCGTATTTCTTGCCAAATCTGTACAAGCGCACAAAACACATCATCTCCGCCAAATAAACAAAATTGAAATACTATAAATGTAGCTTAAGCGACCTCAATGTGGTACCTTTCGGCCCACATCACATCCCCCAACTTACATTTTGCTAGTCTTCGAGCAAAACAAAAGAAATAAGAAAAGTAAAATAACTTTAAGCCACTTTCATAGGAATCACAATTGCATTTAGCATATGCAACAAGTCTTTAAACCACAAGGGTACCCCAAGTGGACGAGTATAGTCTCATGAGGGTTTCTAGAAATGGTACCCACAAACATCAACATATTCATATTTGCTCAACAATAATTAATCATACCACTCCACCTAACAATCAACTTATGTGCCACTACAGTGTGATATTAAGACATGATGAGTAATTAAAAGCATAGTGGACAAGCATGAAAAAATCTATCGAGCCAAAACCACAATTCAATTAATTCAAAAGTAAAGTCCCTCGTACTTGTGAATATTAGTAGATACATCATCAGTACCCTTGGTGTAAAGTGCAATCTCCATATTAGTTAATTGTCCACTATAATAACCCAGTGTAACTCATAATAACACCCAACATATATAAAAAAACTAAACTATTGCAGCTAAGATTCTCAAAAGTTTTTTTTTTTTATTCTTTTATTCTTTTATTCTTTTTTTTTTTTTGGAAAGACTGTACAATGTCCTAATCTATTAAGCTTTCTAATCAATCCATGTAACAAGCATTGGGCCAATGACTCCCAAAAG